ATCCGAATTGGAAAGCGGGGCAAGCTAAACCCACGATATATTGGGCCGTTCGAGGTTCTTTTCCGGATCGGTCCGGTGGCCCGCAAACTACTACTACCCTCAAAACTTAACAATGTAGACCCAACATTCTACGTGTCAAAATTGAAAAAGGTGCTTGTCAGATAAAACCCTCATCATTTCCTTCGATGAGATTGATATAAACGAGAATCTCCGGTTCGTCGAAGAGCCGGTGGAGATAATGGACCGGAAAGTGAAGCGTACAAAACAAAGTCGCATTCCGAATGTGAAGGTTCGATGGAATGCTAAGCGCGAACTGGAATTCACTTGGGAATGCGAAGACCAAATGATGAAAAAGTACCCTCACCTTTTCTCTAGCTGTTAGGATCGACTTTCAAAAGAATTTCGGTACGAAATTCCCTCTAACAGGGGGATGATGTCACAACTAGCATTTTTGGCTAGGAAATTCTATCTTTATATAATCAACTCTTGTGTAACTTGTAATCTAAGTCGATTTTATGTACTATGCTCATTCAAGATCAACCATTTGAATCAAAACTCACTCGTGAAGTCCAAACCCTAATTCAATCCATTTCACACACTTAACTGTGGGTTCGTAACCCTAATATCCCGATTCAAACTCAGAATGGATTTGAATCCTCTTATCTAGGCCTAATGGGCCAGTAAACTCTCAATTTAGCTATTTTGGGCCAAGAAACTTCATTTGGGCTCTAATTGGACCTATATTTTTCAAACCATAACATTTTGGGCCATATTGGGCCTAAAATGTCTCACTTGGTTTCTTGGGCTTTATTAGGCCGTAAACAAATTCCTTTAACATTTTTGGGCCGTAAACCCATAGAAGGGCCCTATGGGCCGAAAACCTTCATATTGGTCCATATAATTTCGAGTATTATCAAAACTAGCCCAACATACCTTTTATTTCTTACATTATTTCCTCTCATTCTCGGCCTATATCAAAAAAAAATTCCATGGAAATAATTACTTGACACCTCATCTTTAACTAGAGGATCTCCATGTAAATTACATCGCATACTTCCAAGATTAAGCACCTTAATCCATCATGTAATAACCAATCCATTCTCTCTATTTATCTCTTCTTAACTCACGGCCAATATGCATTTCCCCACTCTCATCTTCTTTTCATTACAACTTCACCAAAAACTCCTTCTAGAACTCCAAGAATTCACCCATACTACCTCTTCAAATTTCGTGTGTGCTTGTGTGAGATCAAGAACACTTCATCCTAAAATCCACTCATCTTGGTAAGCTACTTCCATAAAAAAAGGTTTAACTTCATGGTTATGTTAAACTTACTCTTCTTAACACTTCATTTCATGATCCATGTCCATGAAATCTCTTAGAATTCGAAGATCTTTTCAAAGAAGTGAGCTAGGACGAAAACTCTTCCAAATCTCCTTCCAAAGCCGAAATCTCATCCAAACTCTTCATCAAAACCGATCCATTAACCCCAATGTGAGTTCATACCCCCTATTTTCGGTTTTCACTATGTTTTGGGGGAGAATACAAGTTTTTTTGTGTAGATCTATGTGTATATGCATGATTTTGTGTGTTTTTCATGATATAAGTGAAATTATGTGTTACAAACTACATAAACTCGAAAATATACTAACTTATGATGATATTTATATAACATAACACTTATTGCAACATATAATGTAAAGAAAAGGTTTAAAACACTTCAAGGTTGTTTAAAACTAAGAAAATTGCATGAGAGGGCCAAAAATGACAAAATAAGCAAAAGTGAGGTTCTTTTTAGAACTCACGACTTTAAGGAACCAAAAAGGAGTTATTTTTTATAAACATGAGTCGTTATGGTATTTGCGATTTTCAAGGGGCTAAAAGTGAAAATTATCATAAATGGGCCTCATTTGGGCTTTCACGGCTTTTAGACCAAAATTGTAAATTTTTAGACTTTTGTGGGCTTAAGTGTCATTTTAAACAAAGTTGTGCCAAAAATGTAAATTTTCGATAAGAAGGGATTAAAATGTAAATTTATTAAATCTTGGGCCAAAAAGATAAATTTATTTATAAATGGGGCCGAGAATGCACATTTTCATAAACTTAAACCAAAAATGATATTTTTGACAAAAGAGGGTTAAAAATGTTATTTTTACTTAAATCTAGCCTTAAATACAAACTTTTGGCCTTAACGGACCTAAAGTGTCATTTTTACCAAAAATGAGCCTAAATTGTAAAATTTTCGGTTTTAAGGACCAAAAACGCTTTTTTACAAAAAAATGGGCCTTTTAATGTCATTTTGGTAAACAACTAAACTTAACAACGAGCGAAACATCAAACGGATCAATTACGCCATTCGCGTGCTTATTGGGCCTAGAATATAATTTACATGTTTAGTGGGCTTTAGTTGTCCAGTTACATTTTTATTAGGCCCGGAATACACCTTGTATGCTTATTGGGCTTGAATTATAAATTACATGTTTAGTGGGCCTTAGTTGTCCTTTTACATGTTTATTTGGGCCTGGAATATACCTTACATGTTTATTGGGCCTTCATGGTCCATTTACATGTTTGTTGACTTCACACATTCACAAACGTACACGTTGGGCTATAAAAACTAAATACTTATATGAAAATAATATATTATGTGCAACTTCATATTCGCTTAAATTTGCTTAAGGATCTTGTGAGACATTTCGGTTGACACCTATTGAGTGTACAATCGTAGCCTGTAGTTATAACCAGAGTCTCCTGGAGGGAGAGCGAGAGTTTGTGTATAGATCTATATGGGGGTGACACCCCACACTTGAGTTGTTCGCTACAGTTAGACTAGGCCAGTCTAGGGTGACAAACTTTACCATCAACACGTCGACGTCCAAAAACGTCATGACAGACGGATTAGTCATTATCATGTATGGTTATAACAACTCATTTAGAGGAATTAACACCATTATAAAATTTACGGAATACAACAACATCGATTATACGGGAACAGACGCTCATTTGTATTCAGTTTTTAGGGTAATGAAATCACAACGTCTTATTATAAACAGACAACATCGGGTTGTCTGAAATTATTCACTTCATACACTCCCAAACATTAACACACATGCATTAATACAAGATCTGACACAAACATTTCAAACCGTTTTTAGAAAATATCGGATTTTCTGGTGTTTACAAAGCAATACAAAATATTTTACTCAATACATGCATATGAACTTACCAACATTATATATGTTGACATTTTTAAATTAACTTGTATTCTCAGGGAATCGTTGAGCAGGTTGGTCAGCAAGAATACCTGGATATTTTGTTGTGTTTTGTTAGTACTATATTTGGATATTTTGGCATGTAATATTGAAATACAATACTTGATATAAAATATGACAGTTATAAAATTACATGCGTGATGATGATGATGTTTAGTTTCAATTATATATACTGTGATGATACTACAAAAATGATGTGACCCAAGCCCCCGGGACCCTCTACTATATGCACCTGGCACGACCCTCTCTTCTCATAGTGCTCCAAATCGATCTCGCATCCTCAGACTTCGGAAGTCATATCCTCCAGGCTCTGACACCATGTCACACTCACTAGCTCACTTGCCAATTGCTGAGTTGCAACAGCTGGAACATCCCCTGTCCCCAAACCGGGTCACAAACTCCTCCCCGAAGCTTCTCAGATTCTCCAAGACTCTCACCAATTCGAGTATGGATCCTATGCTTTCAGTAGTACGGGCCCAATACTACCTTCCACACCTATCTATACTTTCCTCGGCAATCCTCCTGAATCCTCCAAGTCACTTCCTCAAACTAATACATCCAAGTCTCACTAAACCTCACTACTAACCCACTGAAACATATCCTAGGATTTCCTAGGTTCCCGAACCCACCCAGTCCTCAGTTGCTGAAAGATTCCCAGTAATGTCAACTAGCTACCTCATGAATATAGCCACATGCAACAGAGATCAGATAATCCTTTGAGTAAAAGACCCATCCCTAGAAGGGTTGGACTCAAACAAGAGCTGCACAATAGGGTCATGTCCATCACTCTGAGATTATCCGGCTTGTGTCCCATGTGACATAGCATATTAGCTAACTCACATCACTAAGAGTCCCACAAAGCACAAAGCAAACAACATTCGGACAATGGAAAATCTAACCATCATACTCCAATCAAACCATTCTATCCTATAATCAGGAATCTATACATGCAATTCAAAGGCTCATACAATCAGGCATAACCTAAACAGGTTATTCTATCATTGACTGATCAGTACTAACATGCAAGTCTACAAGCACATACAATAGGCATATAAGGCATCCTCTTAGATCCTCAGCCCTAATCTAGCATGTAGTTCAGAAACACCCGAGAGTGTGTCCGAATCCCTCAAACCAAGGCTCTGATACCAACCTGTAACATCCCAAAATTCCAGACCAAATATTTCGTTTTTACTTTAACAATTCATAAACCAACAGTATAAAAGCATTCATAATAATAATTCATGTCAAAACCAAAGTGTCAATAAATCAAACATATTATCATCAAACCATATCATAGTGTAATCCGAAAGATCTCATGTGCGGAAAACATAGTGTGATGCAATGCGATCGCCGGCTCCTTTCCTTTGAAAACGAAGTACCTGAAACCAAAAACTGAAAACCATAAGCACGAAGCTTAGTGAGTTCCCCCATCATACCACATACCACATAATGCATGTCCCTCGGTATCTTTCAACCAAGGTTGCAAAAATCGCTTGACGGTAGCTCGACGGTGGACTGGGGTCAAGGGATTAATCGGCTAGGCGGGGATTAATTGGAGACCATTAATTATTAAAAAATTAATAAATATAGCATTAATCCTAAGAATATAACATTATATATAACATTAATAAATATAAAATTATATCAATTAAAAATTAATAAATATAACATAATAACATGAAACTATGATTACAAAAAAAAACCCCTTTGATCCTTGATACATCACATCTAAATAACTAACCACTGCATTATGAATGTTGAGGGAACAAGAACAGTTTTAGAAGCTTTCTTTCTTGTTCTTTCTCTTGGCTTCTTTGGTTGATTCGTTTCAAAGACCTGAAATTGGACACTAACCTTCAATTGGAACCTTAACACATTAAAAACAAATTAACACATTAACAATGAACCAAACATTATCAATCAAATTAACAGTAAACAGGGTGAATAACTCAAATTACAAAACAACTTAATAGTTAATTAAACAAGGTGAAGTGGTTGGAGGAGAACTCAAATCGCAAAATTAAACAAGCAGAAGTGGAGAATTAAACAAGTCGTTGCATGTTCCTTCCAATTAACCCTCCCTATAATCACTAATCATTCAATTAAACAAGGAATGTGAATCAAATTTCACTGAGACAAAATATCAAATAGTTGGTGTGCACCTGTTTTGATGGATTCAGTTACAATACAAACATCAATTCATTTACACTACCCCGTTACAATACCTGATATATCCATGAACACGGGTTCCATTACAATTTGCATCATGGATTGAAGAACTAACCTGCATCACAGATTCAAGGGGGTTGTGACAATCGAGACACATACCTCACACCTCAGACGAAGAACGAATTGATAAGTGACTTGATAATCGAGACACAGACCTCAGACGGTGAATCGGAGTTCCAATTTCCGCCTTCGATCTACCAAAAAACGGAATCACAGATGGAATGAGTTTGAATTGAATGTGAATCGAAGTTCCCGTGGAATTGAAGATGAATCGGAGTTCCCGTGAGTTTTCGAATTTACCTTAGATGTCCCAATTTCCGACTTTGAATTGAAGGTGAATCGGAATTGTTGCGTCGTCGGAGAAGATGAGTCCATAGCTTGGAGAAGAAAGCAGTCGACAATTTCATGTTTCGAGCGATTTCAATTCATATGAAATCAATCGGTTTCCCATGCTTCACCGTCGGCATCCCACATCGATGGAGTTGTGAAAAAAAAAATTAAGGTTACAAGTTTGGCATCCCACATCGCTGGTGGGACAAAAAATGAAGGCATGCATATCTTATAAAAGGAGACTTAGGTTCCTTTACAAAATCAAACCCAAATGCTCGGTGGGCTAACTGGTTCTTTTGAGCCCATGGTTAGCTGGACCGATTTGGCCCAATTAGGAGTCCGAGTTGGACCGATTTAGTCCGATTTTGACCGAGTTTGACCTGTTTTGACCGATATTGACTAAGGCCGATTATTTTACCCTCTAACCCTTATTCGTAAGCGGTTGGAGGCCGCCAAGCGCCTAGGCACCGATTAATCGGCTGCCTAGGCCGATATTTACAACCATGCTTTCAACCAATATCTGTCTGGCATAACTGGGAGTTGGGCTCCCTTTCGGTATCTTTCAACCGGTAACCGGGAACTAACCTCCCCTTCGGTATCTATCAACTGGTAACTGGGAGCTAACCTCCCCTTCGGTATCTTTCAACCGGTAACCGGGAGCTAACCTCCCCATCAATATCTTTTAACCGGTAACCGGGAGCTAACCTCCCCTTTGGTATCTTTCAATCGGTAACTGGGGACTATTTCACCCCTACCACTACCACATAATAACATATCATAAACATACTGCTAGGCATGCATGGGTTCTCACTAGACCTGGCAAAAAATGACACGACACGAAAAACCGACACGAGCCCGACACGAAATTAGCGGGTTAGGGTCAGAGATTTCGACGCGTTTATGTAAACGGGTTGACATGACACGACACAATAGTTAAACGGGTAGGGTTAGGGTCAAGACTTTCAACTCGAAGATGACTCGAATATGACCCGTTTAATTATATATTATTTATTATAAATTTCATATTTTTATAAATATATTATATGTTATAAACTTATAGTGGGCCAAACTCAAGAATTAGAAGTAATATTCAAATTTTCAAAGTTACTTAATTTTAGTCATCCTCACCACCTATCCCTTTGCTCCCCAACTTTAACTCTTTTCATTTTCCCTTCTAAACTTACTATAAATTTTGTCATTCCATCTTATAACTCCAGTGTTTCACATTTTCCTTTTTTCCTCCACAACTTCTACTTTCCAACCTTTAAAATATTTTAACGCGACATGACACAACATATTTACAAGGTCTAAACTTTAACCCGAAACCCAACACGAAACTGACACGAAAATAAACGGGTTGACACGGCACGACACGATAACTAAACGGGTCGGGTTAGGGTCAAGCCCTTTCAACCCGTTTAATGTCTTGACACGACACGACACGAACCTGACATGCCACGACACGTTTTCCAGGTCTAGTTCTTGTGGGATTAGTGTCTAAGTCCATAACTATATTTGGTATGTACTTGATTCGATTGGCATGGTCCATTTGGGTTGCATGGCATCATGTATTTGGATAGACTAAAATGAGAGAAATAACACTTAAGGTTTGGTAATATATTATAAGCTCTAATATATTAATAAGATTATTTAATTAGTATTGATCAAGAATTAATTTGGAATTAATTAAGTGATCAAAAGGAGACTAATTAAATATATGGGTTGATTGTGTAAATCATCCATACTTGTATAGTGGGCTAATGCTCCATGGATTATCTAGTTGGGCTAAAACCCATAGGATGCTCCATGGTGTTTTTGTACCCATGGATCATGGAAATGAAAGGCCATGACAATTAGGGTTTACATGGTGTAACCCTAATTGTGACACACTATATAAGCATCTTATTCTTCCCAAAATCGGCCACCATGAGAGAACTATGTGTGTATGGTGAGGGCTAGCCGATTTCATGAAGTCTATGATTTCTCTCAAGTTATTCCAAGTGCATTTGATGTTGTGTGAACCATTTGAGGTGTCACACTTGGGGCACTAGGCTCTTAAGCTCCATGGAATCAAGCTACACCAAAAGGTATGTTATCTAACTTGTAGTATTACCCAAGTATCAAAGTTTGTATGCTAGTTAGGATAATACCTTGGAATATTCATATTTGCATGTATAATAGAGAAAACATAGATCTAAGGTATTTAGGGTTGCATGTACACTTAGGAGTGTTAGAATGCTCAAAACCCAACAGTGGTATCAGAGCCTAGGCTTGTTTTCTTGTTATACTTGCAAAATTAGCTGAAAAATCGAAGTTTGGTGTTGTCTGCACAGCAGACTCGCCGAGTCCATGAAGGGACTCGACAAGTCCAAGGCAAAAAGCATCCAACTCGTCGAGTTTGTTCATGCACTCGACGAGTTGGAACCCCAAACAGCATATCTTTGACTGTTTTGGCTGGAATTGGACTAGGAACATTACCCTAAGCTGTTTTTGAACCTATAAACTTGTTTTTGATGTGGTAATGTTCATGCTAATCCAATTTCAAAGATAATTGTCAATAGATTCATGTTTTATATTAGTTTAAAAGTTATGCTAATTACATGAAAAAGTTTGATGTGAATTATCTTTGTTCATATGAGTTGCTTAGATTAATAGAAAAGTTAATTGATTATGTATTTTCAATCCATTTTAATCTAAGAGTTGATTCTAAAATGTGTTCTTGTAACTTGTCCTCAAGTTACATGAAAAGTCACATTAAAGTTTCATAAAACTAATAAATATTTGATAAGTTATGGATAAAGGATAGTCTTATTCTTTTAATAGTTTAAAGTCTTCCATAACTTGTTCTCAAGTTATGGAACTTGAAGAGTTTTTTAATTAAAACTACTTTAAACACATAAGTTATGGAATTGAATAGTTTTGAATTATTCAAAACTTGCCCTCAAGTTTTGGAATTTATGAAGTTTCCCTCATGAATACTTTAATTCCAAGTTAAGCCCTTAGAATTTTAAAAGTTAAAATTCAACCCTTATACTTTATAATATTATAAGTTAATTATATATATATATATATATATATATATATATTATATATATATATGTATGTATGTATAAGAGTAAAGTCGTTTTACCATTAGTAGGCCTCCTTCACAAAGCAGGTCTATAAGGGGGTATAAGGTTACTGCCTATAAAATGGCAGCTTAATGGGTGTCCACTCTCACCCACCGCTTCCTTGACTGGTGGAGGGTCGTTAGCCGAACGGGTAGGACAAGGACTATAATTCTCCCTTCATTAAAAGTATTAATGATAAATACTAAGTAACTAAATATTTATAAATTCCCAATCTTAGTTACGTAGGAAAATGTGAATAAGGTGCTAACCCATGAAATTACACTTTGCACTTTGCTTAAGTCGGTTAGTGGAGCGCGTGTGGTTAACCGGCACACTAGCTTGATTTAACAAGGTAGGAAAAGGTTTCTTAAAGTCTATCATAGGCCGGTGGAGCGTGTGTGGTTAACCGACACATCGGTTGAGTGATAAACATTTAAGAGTACCAAGTAATTTGCATGGTTACTTCACACCTTGTTTTGTGATCCTCGGCATCCCAGTCACAAAACCTGAAGGGCACAATCGAGATTGAAACATGCTATTGAATAGTTCAATGAATCTAAAAAGATCTAGGAGTTTCAAAACCAATTAAAACCTAATAAATTATTTCGTTTTTCATGGTGAAAATTGGTGAATCGTCATTCACCTACCTACAAATATTTTATAGCCTGGATTACGGAATTCCTCTTCCAAGTTATAAAATATTGTGTTGGGTCCTAGCCTTAATATTTCATATTGGGTGTTATATTAAGGACTTTAGATCAACTATCTTGAATATCTCCCAAAAGATGTCTAGGTCAGACATTTATGATCTTCCCAAATCTCTTGGAACTTCACTTCCTCTACCTCCTCCAATTATTTTTCCTAACCCACAAGTTCAAGGTCACTCAAGCCCTATTGGCAAGCAAGGTCTATGTGTGATCGCATCTTGGAGATGAAGTCACATATTGACAAGCTGGGAGAGTTGGGTGTCAAAGTCTTAAGAAAGTTGGTTGTTCAATCACTTTCTAAGTCACATAGTGAGTTACCTCTGGGACTACTATGAAATAGAATATGACATGACCCTTAATGATCTTATCTATTTGCTAGGTGCTGCTGAATCAGTAATGACTTGGAGCACTGGTAAAGGAAATTTGATTAGAAGATCAACTTCCCAAACTTCCATGGACTCTGAAAATGTAACATTGAAAATCCAGAAAAAGCTTTCTCTTCCCAATGGAAATGGATCGGCCATAGTCAACTCGGTTGACTAAATGGTAAAGAGAAAGGCTAAGTCTGAGAAAATCTCGTGTACCATTCCCAAAAGGTCCATATGCTTATATTGCCAAAGGAAGGGGCATTGGTTGCGAAGCTGCCTTAACTACCTGAAAGATCTGAGAGAAGGTTAAGTCAAAAAGTTTGACTCTGCTTTAGGTAAAGTCCACTATCTAACTCTATTAAGTTCTTATTTGGAGATTCTTATTACATCATGTGACTGGGTCACATGTTGAAGTTTTAAGAATCAAAGAAAAGAGAGGAAGCTTAAAGAAGAAGTAAGCTGATTCTGATCGCGAAGATGGATTTCGATCGCATGGTTCGGTGATGAGAATTTTTGAGCTACTGCTTAAGAGTTGTGATAGATTGCTTAGGAATAGATAACAAACATAGTTTTCATATGCATTTGCATTGTAAGGATAAGTTTTTCTGCAAGTTTTAAATAAAAGAAAACTTTTATTTTATTTATTTTTATATATCCTTACAGTGGCATTTGTGGAAAATTGTTGTTTATATGATTCCATTGATAGCAACATCGGAATATGAAATTGATTCTTTCATTTGTGGTAGTGTCTAAATTTACCAAATAGGGAAAGATTCTCATCACCCAAGTTCTCAATTGGACCGAAACTTGGAATCATGCAAGTTGTATAGTGTGATGAATGAGAATTTTCATCTTTGGAA